CGGTAGTAAAAAAAATTGAATCCCACCATTGGATCAGATATTGCTGAAGTAGGCAAATAAATGCTGTGGTCACTGGTTTGGAGAACAGCAGGATGGCCACAGTTTCTATGCCAAATACAAAGCAGTATTGGTTATCCCACCACCAATCAAACTCCCCAGATGGAGTCTCAATTCCCCAGACAGAGTCTTTATAGAGACTCCTGCCTAGAGTACAGGTAGTGCTCGACTTTACGGCCACAATTGAGACCCAAATTTCTGTTGTTGTGAGACATTCGTTTAAGTGAGTCCCTGTCCCATTTTACGACATTTCTTGCCACCGTTGATAAGCAAATCACTGCAGCTGATCAATCGGTACCATGGTGGTTAAGTGACCCTGGTTTCGGCATTGACTTGGTTTGGCAGGAGGTCGCAAAAGGGGATTGCGTGACCTTGAGACACGGCGACCGTCGTAAGTATGAACGAGTTGCCAAGTGCTTGAATTTATATCGCATGATCATGGGGCCCGCTACAAAAGTTGCAAGTATGAAAAGTGGTCGTGTCACCTTTTTCAGTGCCTGTTCTGACCCAGACCTTATTCCAAGTAAACAAACACCAAACAGAGATAAAAGCAAAACCTTTTAATGCTTCTCTGTGAGTTCCGTTAATTTACGGTTAAAAGGCTATTAAAACTACTGTAATTGTCTCTGATAAAAACAAGCCTTGCCAAGGTTGTGCATGGCTGCCAAAAGCACTAGATTAAGTTGCCAAGAAATATTCCAAACAAAAAGTCGTCAAACACAAACAAAAATAGTCCAAACTTCCAGAAGGCTTGAAGTGCAAGAACTTCTTTGCTTCCTGCAAAGAATCCCAGTTTCTCAGGCTGGCTTTTATCTCTTAAGGGAGGGGCCATTACCTTGCAGCCTTACTCCCGAGTCGCCCATGCTGCTGCAGCTGCTCTTTGCTACAAGCAGCCCTGCGCGCATGCACACTGGGCACAGGCTCCTCAGGGTCCTCTTCATCACTGCTGCCAGCCTCCACAATCTCCAAAGGCAGCACTCCACTCCCTGATGGTCCTGGCCCCATCCCTACATCACACGCAGGCCCCTCATCTGAGTCCTTGCTCTCCGAAACCTCAGCGTCTGCACCTGCTGCCGGCGAACCACCTCAGTGCCACTGTACCTTGAAACGGTGACTAAATGAACTGCTGTAAGTTGAGGACTACCTGTCGTGTTCTCTGCAACTGGATCTGTTCGGCACAACTTTTCAATATTCCTTTGAGGCGCATTATACAGTATTAAACCATTGGCTTTCACCCTTTGGACCTTCTGCTGAATACTGAAGGTTATCCGCTTGTTGCGAACAACAACTCCAGCACAGGACTTTGACCTACCTTCCACTTCCTTTCCAATGCGGCCAGGTCTCCTTGCAGAGTATCTTATAACGTTCCAGACATGGCTCATAAGCCTGCCTAAAGGCATAGCCAGCCCGCCGGACCTGCACATTTTCCAACAGCCCAAGGTAGCGCACCTGTGCTCGGACCAGCCCATCGGTGAAAACAGCCGGCCTCTTGTTATCGTTAGGCTTGATACACCTGACAGCATAGGGAACATGAGCAGAGCCTTGTTGAGACAATATAAACTAGTCAATACGTTTAGCTAAAGCCCAATGCGATTCAATCCTACTTGGAGTTCCTCACCTTGAAGTAGGCATTCGTTACCTGATATAATTGGGATTCTTGGAATAGAGGTTTTTCATGAGGGTGAACACAGAGGCTTTGAACTGAGAACCGGCTGTAGGTGGGCGCTTGAGTGAGGCTTTTTGGGGGTCACCTTCAGGGAAGAGGCTGCGTAATAGGGCATGCTTGGCCTTCCACATGGCTTGTGACAGGTCTCGAAAGAGCAGGTCGTTGTTCTTCTCAATGAATCCAGTCACGTTGTAAGTTACCTATGGGAGAGACTGGCTTTAGACATGCCCTTTGGCAGGCACGGTGCTTCATCTAGCATTCTGTTTAGGAGACACATGGAAAGGAAGCATCATGTTGAGACCATAAGATGGTTACTTACTAAATGTTCTGGCTTAGGCCCACCACTCTGTTCATCATTTTTCCTAAAGGGGGGTCTCACAACGCATTTCTCTATGCTGCAAAGCAATCTATCTGCTTTTAGCATTTATTTATTATTTGTTATTATGCCTGGGAATCCCACTAAGGAGCCCAGGGGGTGGAGAACATCCTGGGAACCTACTTTCTGGTAAATGGGAGCATTGTTTTCTGACTTACCATGTCAGTAATTTTGCCAGTTTACAAGGTACCCATAGCAGCCATTTTTATGAAAGTGCTCTCAGATTTCTAAATTTGTTCCCGCTCCCCAAACGGTGTCTGTTTCTATGATAAACTAGCCCTTATCTGGTTTCCATGACTATGAGTTTTGTTCCTGGTACATAATTCCTGTGTCTTATCCCATTTTTAATGAAACTGGAGATAATAAAGTTTGTGTAACTATACCACTATAACCATATGCTCCTGGTTCCATTTGATTGAAATCCCTTCTTTATTATCTCTTGCCTTTACTTTATTTGTTTACTATTCTTTATTGTTATTCTGTATGTTGCATAGTATTACCCTGTTTCTCCAACAATACGGCCTCCCCCAATAGGAAGTCCCAGCATGTTTTATAGGCATGAAATGAAATTAAGCCCCTCCCCCCAAATTAAGGCCTATATTAAAACATGCGAAATGGGGGGGAATGGGGGGGGGCTTGCCGTTAGGAAGTACTTTTGTTGCACACCCGGATATGGTGCTGCCTGCGTTGACCCCGATGCGAAGTGCCCCACCAACGCCGAGGTCAACATCCAAGCCATCGCTGCCCGCCCGCCTGAAGATGCAAGGGGGGGGGAATTAAGTCACCCCCGAAAAGACGGCCTAGCCATTTTTTCAGGGCTCAAAAAAAAATAAGACCCGGCCTTATTATATGAGAAACACGGTATTCACCCACAAAGAGAAATATTTTAATGAGTATGTATGCGTATCTACAAATGTATGAGTTCTTACTCATTCTAAATTCCTGAGTTACACCATACATTTTGTTATCTATCCTTGAAAGATTCCTACCTGGCTTGCATTTCAGTCCTAACAAAAAATATTCATTTAACTTCCCTGACTGAACTCTTTTAATTAGTTTTACAGTGCTATGGATCATATCATTAATAATATTGAGAACATTTCCAAAGAGATCCAAGTTTAGAAAACTAGGCTCATCTGCCCTGCACCCCCAGACTCAGTGGTCTTCCTTTGCTCTTCCTTCTTTGCTTCCAAGAACTGAGAAGGACTCCCAACACAACTTACCTTTCCAGCATAGTGTTGGATTCGAAAGCAGTTGACAGGCAAGCTGGTATCCATGATGTGCTTGGCATTCTGGGTAACTCTGCTCTCATAGCGCTGATGTTTCAAAAAGACCTGGTTAAGTTTGTTCAGGAATGTTTCTTCATTCACTTCTCCAGGGCGAAGGCACTCTTCATCCAACATAGCTAGAATTCCACTTTTATTCTATTAAAAGAAGTATCAATTACCATGCTGCTCTCCCCATATTTTTTTCACTCCTGACCTTGCACAGTATGAACAATTGTCCAAAACATCAGAAAAACAAGGCAGTGGTGATATTTGAAAAAATCAATACCCTGCAGCTCTCCAGACCAGCGGTTGCCAACCGGTGAGCTGCGGCCCACTGATGGTTTGTGAGAAAAATTTGGTGGTTCGCAGAGAAACGTCATCCACAGAGCATCCCCCAAAGCAATTAATCCAGGCTGCGTGGGAACACAAGGCTGCGCACCCCACATGGCCCGCAGGAACCCTCCCTGCCCACTCACTCCTTACCTAGCAAACTTGCCTGCTAAGTTGCTATTTTTCCTTTTTTCCCCCCGACTGTCAGCTGTTCTGCTGTGCCAGGAGATTTAGATTAGCTAGAAAGCAGGAAATCATTTTATTTCTTGCTTTCTAGCTAGTCTTTAGATCTTCTACTCTGCTTTTAAGCAGAGCCAAACCTTCCTTAGGACTGAAGCTTCTATTATTCAGTGCAGACTCACTGCAAGCAAATTTTATGTGGCAGACTCAGGTAGCCGATGGCAGATAGATAGATCTCTGAATGATTCTGTGAGCAACTCAATCTGCCTGCCTGCTTTGCCTGATTTTGGGTAAAAGTTGCATTTTTTATATACAAAAATTCAATATTTATATAAATATTTATAATATTTACATATAAGCCATGCCCAGCCAGTCATATGACCACCAAGCTACACCCACAAATTAGGCCACACCCACAGAACAGACTAAGAAATTTGAATCCCACCCCTGCCTCTGTGTGTTTGTGTGTGTGAGAGAGAGAGAGAGAGGGAGAGAGGTTAGATGATCTCTCTCTCTCTCTCTCTCTCTCTCTCTCTCACACACACACACACACACACACACACACACAAACCCCAACGTCAGCAAACCACCATCAGTCAAAATTCATATTAGTGGTCCCCAGGATTTAAAATTATGAATTTGGTGGTCCCTGAGGTCCAAAAGGTTGGCGACCCCTGCTGCAGACCACACTACATGTTGTTGATAGGGGCTCCTTGGAGCTATGGAGAGATTTGGAGTGGGGTGGGGGCTCACAGACAGCTAGAAAATCTTCCCCATCAATTTTTCAAAGTTATTTTATCATAGATTCTAAGCCAGTATCCCCCAACCTGGACATAGGTATCCAAACTTCCCCAACTGGCATGACTATTTCTGAAGATTGAATGCCCATATCTGGAGGATGCTAAGGTTGGGGAATAAGGGTGTGAGTGATCACATTTCCAATGATTTATGCAGATTTGCATCCAGGTTTCTCTAGTCAGAGTACCAACACTGCAACACATTCCAAAGACTCTGGACACTCTACAGGCACCAACAAAAATAATAGATTTGGCTGATACTGCCATTACCCCTGCTTCACCCTCTCTTGTTTTGAAAGCAACTTACGTCTTCAATCAAGTTACAAATGATGCTGTTATCAAAATAATCCACGTGGGTCCAAGCAATGCCCTGGTTGGGAGAAAAAAAAAGTTACATCAGCAATGGAAGGAAGTCTTATGGTACTGCTTATTACAATGTGTGTGGAAAACTCTTAAGCCACCTGACCAAGGCAGAGACATGGCAGGGAGAAACTCTTGATACCAACTCCTGGTTGATCAGCTGCCTCTAGATCCGAAGCAAAGTTTGCCGGAGAAAGGAGAAATCAGGAGATCACCCACTGGTGCTCCAGAATTGCCCAGGAATTTAGTTTCTTGTGGTTGATTACAAACCGAGCGCTTACTGAACCGGTAGGATCCCACCCCTGCTCTCAGTGTACATAAAAATACATTCATCAAGAATCATAAGATACAACACTTACTGTAGTGCTAGTCATAGGATACTAAATAAGCAATCAAAATCATACTAGGAAACCAAATAAAACAATATAAATTGTAAAGATACAAGCAACATGGTTATAGTCATAAGTAGAAGGAGATAGGTAATAGGAAGGGTGAGAAGAATAATAGTAATACAGTCTTAGTAAATAGTTTGACAGTGTTGTGGGAATTAGTTGTTTAGCTGAGTGATTTCTCAATTTCCTTTTTTGTTACATTTAATAGTTCATATGGTTTTTTAATCTTTCTAAAAACTTTTAATAAAACTGTTCTTAAAAAAATAAATGAGAGGATTGTTCATACCTTTTCATCACAGCTGTAATTGTGAAAAGTCACTAAACAAGGTAAATGAGGATTACCTTGTAGAACAAACTGGCTCTCCATGATGGACTACAATACTCTAAAATGTATTTGTCCTGCAGATATTACTTCATTTTGTATCACCAATTTAGCCAACTCTGCCATTTCCTCTGTTGTGTAAAATCTACCAGAACCCCAGATTATTATTTTTTAAATATTCCATTTAACCTTGAGTTTAAGGAGGACCTCAGCACATCTGGATTACTTGGTCTTTTGGGGGGCCACAGAATATGAATATTTCTATCAGTGAACCAGACCCAGAAACAAAATAATTGGCTACCTCACGAATGTATTCTTCTTGTTCCTCCTTTAAGGTGAGCAGGATGAAGATCTGCTGCAGTTTCTCATTACAGTAATTGATAATGAACTGTTCAAAACTGTTATCCTGGGAAGAAGAGACAAGACAAATATCAAAAATCAAAGTCAATAGGCTAAACTTGTAACCTATTGTGTAGCGAGGAGGTCTTATAAAACATTTAAAGTTCTACTTAGTTCAACAAGCCTGATTGCCTGTGTGGCCAAAGAATTTTATTGGAAAAGGAACTGTCAAACATGGGAAAAGTCCAGGCACTAAATGAATATAAATGTTTATTGCAAGTTTATGTGCTCTACAAGAATCTGAAATCCTGTCAAGGGTCTTCAAACTTGGCAAGTTTAAGACTTATGGACTTCAACTCCCAGGATTCCCAAGCTAACATGACTGGAGGAGGAATTCTGGGAGTTGAAGTCCACAAGTCTTAAAGCTGTCAAGTTTGAAGACCCCTGTCCTAAATCAAAGTTAACTGATGGTAGATAAGAATTAATGGAATTTAAGGTAGGCTAGAATTACTCTCTTGTGGGCATGAAAACTACAGACCAATCTCACTGTGTTGTGTCACGTGCAAAGTCATGGAATCAATCATTAACCAATTCATCACCCTCCACTTAGAGTCAAACAACCTATTCTCCAAAAAACAATTTGGTTTCAGGAAAAAATTGTCCAGCAATCTTCAACTCCTATACTGCAAAAACTTATGGACTACTCTACTTGACCAGGGTAAAGCTGTAGACGCAATTTACATAGACTTCTGCAAAGCCTTTGATTCAGTAGTACATGACAAACTACTGTCACCTTATAAGCAACTGCGTCCTCTTTGCCAATGATGTAAAACTATTCAACACCAACAATGCTACTGTCCTTCAAAGCGACCTTGATTATGTGTCTGAATGGTCAAACATCTGGCAACTCCAAATCTTGACCAACAAATGCTCTGTCCTACACATTGGTAAACAGTACACCAAATACAAACTAGGTAGATATGACCTCGTTGATAATCCTCACTCTGTCAAGGACCTTGGAGTACTCATATTAAATGACCTAAGCACCAGAGCTCACTGTAACAGCATTGCCAAAAAGGCATTAAGAGTTGTAAATCTAATCTTACAAAGCTTCTCCTCTGGAATTATTGAATTGCTAACTAGAGCATACAAAACTTTTGCTAAACCAATATTCGAATACAGTTCATCAATCTGGAATCTGCACTGTATATCGGACATTAATACAATTGAGTGAGTCCAGAAGTATTTCATGAGAAGAGTACTACACTCCTCTGCTCACAACAGAATATCCTAAATAACCAGGCTTGAGATTTTGGGCTTGGACAACCTTGAACTACGCCACCTACGGTTGGACTTAAGCGTAGCACACAAAATTATCTGCTACAATGTCCTACCAGTCAATGACTACTTCAGCCTCAACTACAACAATACAAGAGCACACAACAGCCTTCTGTTCATGTCCAGGAAGTGCCTTGCATGTACAAGTATGCAAACAGGTAGGAGCTTCTCTGAAAGTAGGAAAACCCTTGTCCCTTTCTGAGGACAAGGCTGCTTTGGTGCTTTGAAGTGGGGTGTTTTTCTCACACCAGCGCGCTTTGCAAAGGCTCCTTTTACAAATGCTTTCTACAATTCAAACATAGCTAGCTAACCTCCCACATAAACAATACCCACCATTCATATTGTATAAATATAGGGAAATATGATTCATTTCAAAAGAAGCTAGCATGTAGGACAAGGGTCTTCACACTTGGGAAGTTTAAGACTCGTGGACTTCAACTCGCAGAATTCTTGAGCTAACATGACTGGAGGAGGAATTCTGAGAGTTGAAGTCCACAAGTCTTAAAGCTGTCAAGTTTGAAGACCCCTGATGTAGGATGTGTGATTGCAGGTTGTACTATTGCTAAAATTGACAGGTTCTCATAGCAAGTATACATCAGAACATGACCTAAATTAGTTTGGAATATTTGAATCCTTTGTGATGTGATGTTTTTCAGATACACACACACACACAGGCCCACAGACACAGACCCACACACTTTAAAGCAGGGGTCCTCAACCACCGGGCCGCGGACCGGTACCGGGCCGTGGAGCACTCTGTACCGGGCCGCAAAGAATTTATTTTTTTAAAAAAAATGGCGGCTTTCTTTGCCTTCGGTGAATGCTGCTGGGATCGGGGATCAAGGACACAAATGAAAGAAGGAGAGGGAGGAAGCAACCGAAGCCTGTCCTGCTCTCTGGCTCAGCGGCTTCGGTTTCCTCCCGCCTCTCAGTCGCTCTCTCGCTGCTCCACCAGCCCAGGAAGAAACTGCTTCAAAGAAGCCAGGGGGGTGGTGGCTTTTCCTGTCGCCGCAGCTCCTCCGAAGCGCCCGTTTACCCCCACCCCGCCCGCCCGAGCGTGGTTCAATTCAGTGCCCCGTTCTGCCTGCCTGCCTGCCTGCCTTCGTTAATGGTTGATTTGGAACAGCTTCGGCTGAGTAAAAGAGGCGAATAGTTATTATTCTCAGCCGAAGCTGCTCCCAAACAACCAGAAACTAAGGCAGGCAGGCAGGCAGGCAGAACGGAGCACTGGGTTGAACCGCGCGCGGGCGGGCGGGGTGGGGGTGGGGGTGAAACGGGCGCTTCGGAGGAGCTGCGGCGACAGGAAAAGCCACCCCCCCCCGGCTTCTTTGAAGCAGTTTCTTCCTGGGCTGGTGGAGCAGCGAGAGAGCGACTGAGAGAGGAACGAGGCGGGAGGAAACCGAAGCCTCCCCCCCCCCCAGTCCTTGAAAAAGTGTTTCTGCTTGAAACCGGTCCCTGGTACAAAAAAGGTTGGGGACCACTGCTTTAAAGCATCAGTAAATCTCAGCTAATTCTGAAACCAATTTGAAGTTCTTTATTAAATCCAGGAATATCTTTACCTGAAAAATCTCAAAGCCATATATATCCAGAACACCCATCACTTTCTTCCGCTCAGTTGTTTTCACCTAAGAAGAAGGGGTGTGTGTGGAAATGAGGATTAGTTTCAAAGAATCCCAATGTTCTGAAGGTATCCCCAATTTTCTCTTTTAACCGGGGCCATTGCTTTTATCTTGAACCCAGATTAGGAGTACCAGTTCTAGCATGGAAGGGAAAAAACACCCCACACTTCATTGTTATGTTCCATCTTATTCCAAGTAGCTGCAAAGCAGCATATATGGGAGACTTGCCTGGCTTGGGTCCCTACAGTCTGGATGTGCTATTGCTCCTATCATACACTGACAGCATGAGCAATGTGCAAGGATTATAGTCAGGGGTGGGTTTTCAAAAATTTTAGCAAAGGGTTCTCTTCCCAGTTGCTGGATGGGCGTGGCCATGGTGGGCGTGGCCTAGTCGGCCTCCTGCGCCATGGCAGGGGGTGGGTGTTTTTATCCTCCCTGGGCTCCGGAGGCTTTCCTCGAGCCTCTGGGAGGGCGAAAATAGCCTCCGAGGGCTCCGGAGGCTCTCTGGAAGCTGGAAACAGGCCCACTTCCAGCCTTTCTGAACTTCCAGGGGGCCTGTTTTTCACCCTCCCCAAGACTTCACACGCATCCTGCACTTACCTGCATCCAAAATGGCCCTCGTGGGGACTCCTGGGAGGGGAGGGGTCGGGTGGGTGGGAATGGGATTTCGAGGTTCTTCAAACTGCACAGAATCTTAGCTAGGGGCTCTCCCAAACTCCTGCGAACCCCAGAAGCCTACTCCTGATTATAGTATGTTTGAAGCCATGGCACCGACCCTCTGGAACATCATTCCCATTGAGGTTAGAATGGCCCCCAACCCTATTGGCCTTTTGGGGAACCCTGAAGACAGGGTTCTGTCCCCAGGCCTGAGTCCATAGTTGTATGGAGCTGGTGAAATATTACTCATAAGGTACTCTCCCACATTTTGCATTTCATGTTTTGCATCTTATGGCTAATGGTTCATTGTTTTTAATTGCTTTAATTTGTTTTTTCCTGGTTTTTGTTACTGTTGGTTTTTATTTTTATTTCTGTTTTCAACTGTGAGCCAAGTATGAGATAAATGTGGCTGTATAAATTGAATAAAGAAAGTGGCGGTGTCAAGTGGCAATATGTGAAGTGACATGGCATGGTAGGCTCCGTACCAGTGGTGGGATTCATTTCAGGGATTCAGACACTAGAGCAGTGGTGGATAACCTTTTTGGGCTCCTGTGCCCAAAACTCGTGTATCAGCACCCAGAAGGCAATACGTGTACCCCCCACGCCCCCTACACATGCCTGTGCAATACCCACCCACCCACTCCCACCACCCCCTTACCTGCACTATGCCTCACAGCTGATTTTTGGCCAGTTTGAGGTCTTTTTCGGTCTCCCAAGGGCTTGAGGAAGGCTTCTGCAGGCCAAAAACTAGCCCGTTTAGTCACTTCCGGTATTTTCAGAAAAAGAGGAAGTGATGAAATGGGGCTAGTTTTCAGCCTGCAAAGCCTGTAGAACCCTTCTCAAGCCTTTGGGAGGCTGAAAAAGGCCTCAAACCGGCCGAAAACCAGCTGTAAGGCACGTGCATGCCCAGTGAGGTAAGTTTGCCTGTAGCTCACGTGCCAGGACAAATGGCTCTGCGTGACACCTGTGCCATAGGTTTGACATCAAGGCACTAGAGTTATCCATTCAGCACTGAAATGCAATTCCTAGCCAATTGTGAAAGGGATTTGAATATTGAAAGATGGTTTATACAATTCACACAATTAAAAGAAGGAAAAATAAGACCAGGGCCTGAAATTAGAAGCCCCTCTGGAAAGCAGGAACAATTAATGTGTTGTTTTCCAATTTTTCGTCCTCTCTACAACCTTAAGAAGAAGGTGAGGTTGAAAGGAAGCATCTTGCCCAAAGACCCTCAGTGACATAAACAGCCAGTAGGGAGCAGCAAAATGTTTCTTTCTACTTGTTAGGAACTTCTGAATCCTTAATGGGGATCCTTAATGTAGTTTCTCCATCTGGTAAACTAAGCCTGCAACGGCAGTCTTAATATCTTCAAGACAGCCCAGGTCAGCAGAAGTCACAAGAACCACTCAGAAGGAATCAAATAACACCTTTTTCAATTAACAAACGTAATTAAAAGCCATAAGGTATTGTGAGCTGCAGTTCACTTCATCAAATGCTGCCCTATGCAGCTGCAATTCACAAAAGCTTGTGGCTTTTATTAAAATGTGTTAATTGGAAAAGATTCTGTCCCCTTTCTCTTGATTTTTTGCACCATAATTTGATATTGCTCTCCTACAATGTCATCAAGAAATCTATTCTATTATTATATGGCATTGAAACAAAATCTTGAAAGTTTTGCTGTTTCTCCTTCTTATACCAAAGAGAATCAAAGAGGGCAATTTTTAATTCCTTTCTCACCTCTCCCATCTTTCTAGGCTATGCTGCTGTTTTCATAACAGCTGTTGCATACCTTTTAAAAAGCTGTCTTTGTATGACTGGGGCATCTTTGTGTTCTTTTCCATGGTTAAAGCTTTAATTTCTATGCACCTCCTGCCTTTTCAACAAAGGCTGAAGACTAATAGAATGGTCTCGCTATGCTTGTCCAATGCAGTGCCTCCGGGTGTCCCAGATTACAATCTGACTTAAAAGGCAATGGCCATACAGTTAGAGATTCCAAGTGTTAGCTCTATACCAAGTTGGTGAAAGCTTTCTCAAAAGATCTCATTCAATTATAATGAATGGAATCTAAATATATGTTAGGAAGTAGGGGTGAGGCATACTCACTTTGATGCTCTCGTTGATCCTGTTAATAAGCCAATTAAAGAGACGATTATAAATGTTCTTTGCAAGAGCATCCCGTACATAGTAACCCTAGGAGCAAAGACAGTGGTGGTTAGCAGTGGTGGAATTCAAATATTTTTACTACCGGTTCTGTGGGCGTGGCTTGGTGGGTGTGGCTTGGCTTGGTGGGTGTGGCTTGGTGGGCATGGCAGAGGAAGAATATTGGAAAAAAAAAACCTTCCCTCCTCACTCCAGGGGGAAGATTACTGCAAAATCCTCCCTCCCCACCCCAATAACCTGCTTTCCAGCTCCGTTCTCCTGTGCAGGGCAACACAAGAAGACCCAGCTGATCAGCTGGGACTCGAGAAGCAGCGAAGAGATGGGAGTGGGGCCAGTCAGAGGTGGTATTCCAAATTACTCAAAATTTCCGCTACTGGTTCTCCGAACTACTTAAAATTTCTGCTACCGGTTCTCCAGAACTGGTCAGAACCTGCTGAATACCACCTCTGGTGGTTAGTCATTCAGAAGTTAAGAAAGAATAAAAATTGTGTGTGTGTATGTGTGTGTGTGGGAATTAGTCCCTGCCCTAGAGCTTGGATTAGAATCATTCCAGATTTAAACATTCATTGGACGTGTCTACTGTTCATATTTAAACTACATTTAAAGCCATTTTAGTTCCATCACTTCCTCTCTGCATACCCATAAAATTTGCAGAATCTTGATATCCATTTTTATCATACAGAACTAATATTCTCATAGAATAGAATAGAATAGAATAGAATAGAATAGAATAGAATAGAATAGAATAGAATAGAATAGAATAGAATAGAATAGAATTCTTTTATTGGCCAAGTGTGATTGGACACACAAGGTCTTGGTGCAAATGCTCTCAGAATACATAAAAGAAAAGATACAGATAAATTGTTTGGTTCCCTATTTTTTCCTGTTTGCTTATACTGTACAGCTGTTTCTATGCTGCTGTCGCTCTGAATTTAAGCCTGTTTACCATTATAAAGCTATAACAAACATTCCACTTTAAAAAACATCTCAAAATGCCCTAATGCCACTGTCTGTCTAATTGAGATTCTTCTCACCAAAGGTCCTAACAAAGACCACTGTTTTCACTGCCTTCCAGGAAGTAAACAGGATGAGGGCCATGCTGACTAGAATTGGCCAGCTGTTCCAGAGTGAAGGGGCTGGCTGTAGGCTACACTGGATATTAAGAATAAGGAGAAAAAAAAACCTGGAAGACAACCAAAGCCTAGTGTGTTTGCCTAGAAAACTATGTGGACATGCAATCTCCAGGAGTTGAGCTCAACTTGAAAGAATTGTGTTTCTTTCCCAAAGAAATCATATTCATGATGAGTTGCTATTTCAGTTTAGTCCTGTCTCTTCTCCATTTTCTTCCTTCATACCCTTCAAATTAGCTTGTCCGGCACCTAATTAATTCAACAGTTCCTGTCCAGCTAAATTAAATTCACATTAGTCAGGCTGTATTTTTCTTAAGGTCAGATAACAAAACACTCACCATACAGTGACCCATATTAAAACAAGGTAAAACATATTTCAAGAACAACATAATAATGAAAGTTACCTGGGCTCTCTCTCTCTTTTCAAAGACTCCCTGGAATAAGTTATCAATCAACTTATATTAGCCTGCTGATTCTTCTGGAGAAGAAAACTAAATCCAAATATAGTGTTACCTCCAAACATCTGAGTAACTTCAAATGCCAGGCATCCGGTTGTTTTTACATTGGAAAAGATGAACCTATGCTTGAAGTATGCGTTATGCTGAGTACCCTGCACAGTTTTCAACATGGAGCAGAATGATCACAACTAACAGAATTATCCCAACTAACACTTCTGCTTAGGAACAGCCATATTTCAGAGATCTCATGTACACAAATCCGCTCAACACTTACTTGTGAGACATTCAGGGATGTCACCACCTTATCTTGATGGGCTTCCACTGTTCGAGAAGACAAAGCTTGCTCCAGTACCGTTTCATCCAGATGGATCAACTGACAGATCTCTTGTACCACTGTAGAAGTAAAATATGGAGGAAACAGTGCATGCAATAGTGAGTCCTAGCAAGGAAGGTTTGAACAGAGAGAATCTGCATTTTGATAGGTTGCCCAATGGAACTCTTAAAATGCAAGTTTCTCTTCAGATAGTAAAACAATTGTTTTTTAAAAAATATTTATATATTTTCTCTTTACATAGAATAAGTGCTTAGTGAATAGAGTACTGTCTGGGTACTATCTTTTTTTTACTCTGTTCAAGAATCTGACCAACTAATGGTCAAGAGAAATGAGAGCAGATAAGAAAGGCATTCAAGGAGGGCTGACTGAGATCTCTTGCAGGCACACTGAGATTCATGACTTATGACGCGTTTAACCTCTCCCTTGGGCTCAGCCTGGTCATCTCCTACAGAGATATAACAACAGCAAACTGTTGCAGGTTTCTCTGGCTTCATCTCTACTGACTGCTGGAGGCAAGGCTGGAGAAACTCAAAAATGGATGGCACATATTGCCTAGTCTGATATTAAAGAAGGGACAGCAGATGTAGCTCTTTGGCTTTGAGTAGAAGAATAAGTTCCTCTGGAACAATTGATCTGAGAAATACATATGGCCTCCCTAAGAGCCTTACATTATTGGCTGTTTTCCACAAGGCAACGTCTAATGCAAAACTGTTTTCAAGGTGATGACAACCTGGCTTCTCTGTGTCGTGTGCCCAGGAATGAGATTGTTAAGGCAACAGAACATTGAAGCCCAAAAGAAGTTTTCATTTGATGCCATCAAGTTCCTATGTAGCCCTGGAAATGGTCCTTCTCTCCTGCTTACCTTTGTCACTCTGGATAACACAAGCTTGTGTCCCGCCAGCTTGAAATCGCTCTCCAAATTGCAAATTGCCGAGTTTGAGGACAACTGCTGCCACCTCCAGCACTTCTGTCATCTCTGAGGGTGTGAACCCAATGCCTCTCATGGCATCCTGCATGAAAGAAGTCACAGGGAAGAGCATGAAAAAGAGCACAACTCAGAAAGAGCACAACTCACCTCTCTCTGCATGCAAGGAAAGCTGTATGTGCCTAATAATACTGAGATAGAAAGCAAAGTGAAGTGGTATTTTTAGGGAATGCCCGAATACCCAGTGAAAAGAACATATTGCTCAGATTGCTCAGTTACATAGAGTTCAAAAGACCTCGAGACTAGTTTGTGGGTCCACAGGAAAATAATTTTAAAAGTGGGGCCTGTTATTACAGGGCATGTTGCAGTGTACCAGAATGGCTTCTGTTTAAGAAGCTCTGGTTCAGGATAGTGTATTCTCCTTCTACCCCTTTTCTCTGTTTCTCCTCTGCAACAACCAATCAGTATTTTCTGACCATGGGGCACGGTCAGTTTCCCATTAAAATTTTGGGGTTTTTTTGGGGGTGGTGGGATATTTCTTCCTTCATTTTCTTCCAAGTTGTTTTGCAATTCCACAGATCATTGATTTCACCAGCTGGCTGGTGCCCCTCTCTTTTGTGTGTGTGTGGGGGGGCGGGGGGAGGGTTAGTGTGGTTTTGGCAATCTATTTATTTAGTTATTTATTTGGTTTGTCAATTGCTTACAAGATAATAGGTATAAGGATAAATATAGTTATGAATATATGGATACGTATAAGAAAAATAAAAGAAACAATAGGACAGGGACGGTAGGCACGTTGGTGCGCTTATGCACGCCCCCTACAGACCTCTTAGGAAAGGGGTGAGGTCAATGGTAGACAGTCTAAGGTTAAATTTTTTGCGGTTTAGGGAAGAAACCACAGAGTCAGGTAGAGTATTCCAGACATTGACCACTCTGTTGCTGAAGTCGTATTTCCTGCAATCAAGTTTGGTGCGATTAAACCTTGAGTTTGCATCTATTGTTTGCTCTTGTATTGTTATGGTTGAAGCTGAAGTATTCATTGACAGGTAGGACATTGCAATGTATGATTTTATATACCATGCTTAAATCAGACCGAAGACGGCGTAATTCAAGGTTTTCTAGTTCTAGAATTTCAAGTCTGGTGGCAATAAGGTATTCTGCAACGAGTAGTGGAGTGGAGAACTCTTCTTGTGAAATATTTCTGGACTTTCTCCACTGTGTTAATATCAGATATGTAATGTAAGAATCCAACTTTGGATAATTACTAGCTGCTAGTATGCATAGTTTTTCTTTTGCTCTACGCCAATATAATTTATATTATGTCTTACACAAAGAGTATAATATTACACATACCTGCACAGCTTTGAAGTTGGCTGCATCGTCAATGCCCTGCAAGCTTGCAGCTTCCTTGTTGAGGTAGTTATAAAGGCTGAATTTTCTTTCAAGTTTCAGCTGTTCTGTTGAAGAGAAGGAATTGTGAGAAAAGAGTCCTGAGTATCACCCCCTCCAGTCAAGAGGGTTTTTTGTTCAGAAGCTATACAGGTAGTCCTCAATTAACAACAGTTCATTTGGTGACTGTTCGAAGTTACTTTTTTAAAAAAGGCAGTAAAAAAAGGTGACTTATGACTGTTTTTCACACTTATGACCAGTGCAGCATCCCCATGGTCACATGATCAAAATTCAGACACTTGTCAATGGGCTCATATTTATGATGGTTGCAGTGTCCTGGGGTTTTGTGATGACCTTTTGTGACCTTCTAATAAGCAAAGTCGATGGGGAAGCCAGATTCATTGAACAACCATGTTAGTAACTTAACAACTGCAGTGATTCACTTGACAACTGTCATACAATGGGGCAAAACTCACTTAGCAAATCTCTCACTTGGCAACAGAAAACTTGGGCTCAATTGCGCTTGTAAGTAGACGATTACCTCTAATGTCTTTTTGGTTCTCCTGTGCCAATCAGTTTCAAGCTAAAGCAGACATTCCATATCTTGCCTTTAATATGACTTGGTATTTTGGGCCGAATGTACTGACTTGCATAACTCCATTTACCACAATCTGATATCTTCTAGCTGCTTTAGACTATAACTACCATGGCCAGTTAACATGCTGCTGTGGAAATATGATGGAGATTGTTGTACAATGTACCTGGATGGGAATATCCCACTCTGGTTCCTGTTATTCCGTGTCTTCCCAACTGCTGGGAAGAAATGGTTCAGCACGGGAATGGGACAACTTGCTGCAGCCAACTTGCTGCAGCCAACTCACCACGGCCAACTCACAACAGCCAACTCATTGCAGGACAACTTGCCACGGCCAACTCGCCATGGGAAAACTTATTGCGGGACAATTTACCAATTCTATTTAATTATTTAAAATAAATAAAAATTATTTTAATTTTTGCCATTTACATTTCATTCTGTCCCTCCTTTTGCATCTTTTCTTTAATGATTCTATTCCACCAATTTTTTGATATTAGTATAACTCTTGTCCCACAGTGAGTTGTCCTGTGGCAAGATGGCCGTGGAGAGTTGGCCATGGTGAATTGTCATAGACTCATTTAACACAATGGTTCTCAACCTGGGGTCCCCAGACCCCTAGGGGGACCGCAATGTCAACACAGGGGGTCTGCGAAGACTTGAAAAAATGTTATCATTTAAATCTCAAGTGTTCGGGGACTGTGGTCATAATCCATGGCCATTTAAAGAGGGCCCATGGTGAGGAAAAGGTTGGGAACCATTGGTTTAGCATCTTTGGCTAGCCACGCCTCAAATGAGTTGACAAGACTCAACATTTCCTGAAACGAGTTTTCCAAATTCCAACAATAGATTGTTCTTGCATTCCCCTTATTTCAACCTCCCCCATCTCATGTCCCTTTCTCAATTTGTGTGTGTGTGTGCATGTGTGCGAAGGGGGGGAGTAAGGGGACTAGTCCCATCCAAGTCAAGAGTGAAGACATACTGAGCAACTGGTCTGAGCCTCCAGATAGGAGTTGGTAGAAGATGTGGAAGTTTCTCTCGCCCCTCACATGATGCACCACTCGGGATTTCTCCAGCAGGTCTGCAAGTAAATGCAGGACAAGAATGAAAAACAAAAAGGAAAACACATAGGCAGGGGTTGGGAGAATTGAAGGCCAAATTGCTCCCTCTGCTGTTGTGGATGGCTAGAACATGTCCTCCATTAGCCAAGGAAGACCATGGCACTCTCAAGTTCCAATAAGGGAGAATATCTGAAGCTCAGGGTTGAAATGAGCAGACCTTGGTGCTCTCTGAGGTTGCTTGCTTTCAAGTTCATTATCTAGTGGGTCCCCCTTTCCTACTTAATTCATTCGTGCTGTTATTACTATGTGACCACTGCAATGCAGGCATTAGAACAGGGATGGTGTGTTTAGGCACGCCTCCTAAAGACCTCTTAGGAATAGAGTGAGGTCCACGGTAGACCATTTAAGGTTAAAGTTTTGGGGGTTTGAGGATGTAACAACAGAGTGAGGTAGTGTATTCCAGAGATTGACCACTCTGTTGCTGAAGTCGTATTTGGAAGATCATATCGTATCTAGAAGATCATACTCACAATTGTTAATGACACCACCCAGAGGATCGCCTTTGAAGTCAAACTCAATATCCATGTATTTTCCCTGGAGAGAAAAAGAAACAGGGAGGAATATTTGGACCCAAATGAGAAGCCTTGAATCCCTAATGAATGTGATGGCTTCCCTGCTCTTTTTTCTTCTTCTTTTGCTTTGGGCTAGGCTAGTCCAAGGTATTGTGTAGACATATAGCTGGGTGGATTTAAAACTTAACTCTCTGAAAACAGAGGAGTCTGGTAGTATTTGAAACTCTAATCTACTTATTGTGATGTGAACAATAAATGCCTCAGCAGGTGGCAGCACCTGAATGATCTTGTTTGAAGTTGGAAGCCAAGACAACTTCTGCTTGCATGGGAGATAACTACAGCTCTAGATTAGACAGGTCTATTTCTGTGTTGTTGCCTGGTTGTGTCCAAGAACTCATCAGGAGTTGATCTTGATCAAAAGAAGAATCTCATATTTTAAAGCTCTATATGGAGTAGTTTTTAAGGTGTCACAAAACAGTTTGTTGGTTTCGTTGCACTGGTTCGACATATTTACTCTTCAGGAAATTGTTTGAAGGCAGTAACTAAGGGTCAAATGAAATATGATATGTATACATTCTGCAGTGCACACTTAAAAGTTATGTATGGGATCTAGATGAGAGAATTGGCATGAGAGGGACTTAAGATTATCTCCTTTCCTTCTTTGCTCTAAAGCCTCATTACTACAATGTGAAAGATGTTGTTAATGCATTTTCATTGTTAACGCACTCTCATGAGCTACAACATGTCCAATTAGAACTGCATTTAAACTATGTGTTGTTGTTTTTCTTCAGTAACAACCATTTCACGGGACAATTTCATTATTATCTATATATATAAAAGCCAAGTACCACTCACTCATCACAAAATCTCCAGAATCGTAAAGCCTACAAACTTAAAATTTGGCACATATGTTCCTCTTGGCTTCTAGGTGCTCGCAATGAAAGGATTTTTCGAAATGACCATCAGATCATTAGTATTTCTTATACATTAATTAACACACTCTGATGCTAAGGAGTTCTGATCCCCCTCCCCACCTGAAAAGAATTCTGTTCAATCTGCCAGTTGCCTCACATTCCGTTACCTCAGTTCAAACTGGCAGATGTTCCACTCCTTCACTCAGGAGCAGTCTGGGGCTTCTTACAGTACTAAATGTCGGTACCTCACCAAAATATCTACGCCTTCCACCCATGGAACTGCTTCCAGACTCAAGGCGGTGGGAGCAATATTCCCTTATGCATTTCAATCACCAACCACCACTGACTGAGCCAACGGATTGTGAACTGAATTTCTCCTGCATAGCCCAATCACAAAGTTTTGTTGCAAAGCACGGGTATCCAGCTAGTGTTTTCTATAGGGAACTAGCTGTAGAATACAACAATGAAATGTTGCTCTGCACAATAATTATTTTAGTAGATTCCAGGAAGTGCTTACATCATTCACTCTGCTCTTATGAAGTCAGGGTAAATGTTAAGTGTGATTTAATTATAGAATTGAGTCACAATTCCATATCCTGATAATTCTAATCTTTTAAAAAACATTTAGCCGTCAAAACAGCAAAAATAGAATTGTATACCCGAAAAAGTCCAAGGAAGTTTATGTGTGAGACAGAGAAAAAAAGAGAAAATAAAAAACCACTTCCACCATTTCTAAAAGTAAAAAGAAAAGGCTTTATAAATCTACTTGCCTCTATGATGAGCAAAAGCAGAATAAATTATGCAGGATGTTTAATTGACCCTTATCATTTATGCAGGCCGAATCATCCCATTTTGCTTTGTGCACCACTTGAGTTGCATAATTGTGATGCAGGACCCAGGATTTGAAAAGATTGTAAATCTGGACTTGCTCCCAAGTCTAGATCTATAACGCATATCTTCTAAGAAATATTAGAAGTTGTGCTAGATTCACTCAGTAGGTAGTAATTCTCCATCTAGTACTTACAAATCGGGAGGAGTTGTCATTGCGGATGGTTTTGGCATTCCCAAAGGCTGAAAGAAGAGGAACAATATCTCAGTTCCCTAGATGTTATAATTCAATATCTAAAGAAGCTAACCATCTAACTGCTTCTAGTGCAGCTGCAGTGAGATCATCCCAGGTACCCTTAAATTTCCATATTATTGAACTATATGTGTTACAGTTCTGTTTTGGTGCACCACAGATGCATTGCCATTCCCCACTTAAGGGGCTTTGCCTTATAAATCATGCCAGTGGTAAGTTAGGGATTGCCATTATGGGCAGCAAATTTTATACAGCACTGGTATATATATTTTTGCCAATTCAAGAGCAGGAGAACAGGTCTTTGACTCAGCTGTGAAGAAAAACTTTATCAACTCCTTCTTATAACTACCGCAAATGCAGCATTGGTGCTCCACTGGGAAATCTGCACTTTCTCAGCCGTAAAATACTGTGTTTTTGCATTATGGGAAAAATGTGATAATAGGTAATGGCCCAGTGAATGCCTATAAATACTGATCAGTTCCTATAGAATTGATCCCTCCCTTTCTCACCCTTTACAAAGGCTGCAAGTACATACCTTCCAGGACAGGATTGGACTGTAGCAGCTGTTCCTTGACACGATTCACTTCCTCCCCTTTCCCACATACAGCTGCCACATAGGACATTACTAATTTGCTGGCCTCTAATGAAGAAAAAAAATGCGAGCAGCATAAAATCAGTGAGAGAATATATGATTTGGTAGGGATATTTAAAAAGACTCAGTTTTGATGAGGTGGATAGGACATAAGGCTAGAAATCAAAAGGCAATGAGATCTAGTCCTTTCCTAGGCATAAGGCCAGCTAAATCCCCATGGGCCAGTCTCTCTCTCTCTCTCTCTCTCTCTCTCTCTCTCTCTCCCCCTCCCCCCCCCCCCCCCCCCCCCCTCTCCCCCGAAAAGGAGGCAAGGACATGTCACTGCCAAAAAATAGTTCAGGGATTCATCCAGATAGTCACCATGACTGTCTGGAAAGGTCAAAAAAGAGGAGAAAGGGCATATAGAGAGCCTCGGTGGCTCAGTGGTTAGAGTGCAATACTGCAAGCTATTTCTGCTACAGCCAGCTGCCTTCAATTTGGCAGATCGAATCTCACCAGGCTCAAAGTTGACTCAGCCTTCCATCCTTCCGAGGTGGGTAAAATGACTCAAGATTGTTGGGGGCAATAGGCTGACTCTGTAAACTGCTTAGAGAGGGCTGTAAAGCACTATGAAGTGGTCTATAACTCTAAGTGCCATTGCTATATGTTATCCTGTCCTATTCCTATTACTCAGGAAAAATCCTCAATAGGAATCCACTACTAAACAAACCCGATTGCTATCCAGGCCCAGAGAACCCTTTCTGTTTTTCTGCAAAGAGATCCACAGTTTGAGGCAGGCTGTGCCACTCCTTAAGCCCTCTTAAATCATGAGGAAATTCCTCCCTGTGATTATAGAATGCATTTAAAACTTCAATCTGGTTATTTAGGAAGGAGAGAGGGCACATCTATTATAGCACTGCATGTGAATTAGGAATATATTCTGTGTGGAGGAACGATTTGCATGTAACTTGCCACCGAAGCAGTAACAATTGCTAGAGAAACTCTCTCCAACCTGGTAGTCTCAAATTGGTTGCAAAGCTACTTCTATCATCCCAAGGAATGTAGCAAGTAGGATTTGCTGACTAGTGATGAGGGGTACTCTGCCCCCATACAACACAGGCTGTGGAAGTTTGCTTAAATGGCTTAAATTTGTGGACATCTGTCAGTGCCACTAAACTAATTCTAATAAACCACTTTGCCCCTGCGTTCCCCCTCCTGCTTCTATATTCTGCTTCATTGATTTGTGAAAGCTCCTATTAAAATGTATTTATTTAAAGAGAGCCCTTCAAGAGTGCTCCCATGCTATTTAGATGACGGTTGAAAAATGTATTGATCTCTGCTCATCTCCGAATGCTTCAAATACACAGCTCCTAACACTAGCAAGAAAAAGAAAAAGGACAGAAAAAGCAGAATTACAAATGTTTAGGCAAAGTTATCAGAACATCCTCCCCCTCCCCCAAAGTTTGAGGATGGGATAAGAGGATTGCGCAATGAATCCTCTTGCTTTAAAGACTTTCCCAGCTCTTTTGGTGTCTTCAGTCGCATCCCCCAGCTGTCCCTGCAGTGATCAACTCAATGCATGACTGACCCCACCCCTGGTTTTCTCCTGTCCCTTCCAAGTTCTGCCAAGCTTGGCTAGGAGTTGCCTCTTGCCAATGCTTTCTTTTCTCTATGCCCTTCTTGAGGAACCCAGAAATCCTTACTCACCTGTTTTGCCGGCCCCGCTCTCACCAGTGATAAGAATGCATTGATCTTTGTCTTGATTCTTCAATGAGTGGTAAGCATCATCGGCAATGGCATAACTGGGCAAACACAGGGAGAAGAATGAGGAGGGCTATTGCTTTGGATTCCCCCAGGATCTGCCTTCTCCCTCTCGTCCCCTGGAATCCATTCCTGAGAGTTGTTGGGTGTGATAATTCCCACTCCGTTCCCTTCTCACTTACATGTGAGGTTTGACAGCAAAGAAGTTGCAGTTCTTATATTCTTCCACCGTTTTTGCTGAGTAAATGGGCAATGGCTGATATGGGTTCAGGGAGATCACCACATTCCCAATGTAGGTCTGTGAGGCAGAAATAGTTTGTTCTCATTAGTAAGATGGCAGTGCTCAGACTGTAGTAGGTGAAAGTGTCAAAGGTTGGATCTGTCCCTTTGTCCCAAAGGTGCTTTTTCAAGAGGCAACTGGACTTTCTGTTTTTTCTTTGAAGATGTTTCGCTTCTCATCCAAGAAGCTTCTTCAGCACTGAATAAGCTTCTTGGATGAGAAGCAAAACGTCTTCAAAGAAAAACCAGAAAATCCAGTTGCCTCTTGAAAAAGCACCTTTGGGACAACCATGACCTGGATGACTGAGAATCTCCATAGACCTCTGTCCCTTTGGTTCACCATTGCTATTTGCTTCTAATCCTATTCCTACTCTGGCTCAGGAAGACCGGGAAGAACCAGGAAGCAAAGAAACCTCGTTGCTATGATCTTCTTCTTCACCAGTTTTTTCTACATGGCAGGCAAACAGACTGGTCCCATTCACTGAGTAGAGCAAGGCAGCTGCTCAGCGACCACTGCCAAAAAAGGCACCAGGAAAGAGCAATCTGCCAAACCAGGCAGTTTTGTATATGGACCAAGAGAAGGCCTCTTCTAAGGTTTAGGATTTGGCAATAAAATATCTTGGTCCAATTCTGCTAATTCTAGTAAATAAGATCGACTCACTGCAAATCTCCTAAAACATGGAGCCTGGTAGATTTAATAAATTCCATTGAACTTTCCAATTTTAGCTGTGTCATGTCACATTATCCAAGCTTTGTAGAACTAGTAGGAGAAATTGGGCTCTGCCTCTTGCTATAAAGCAGCTATAGGTAGTCCTCGACTTACAACCTTTTGTTTAGTGACCGTTTGAAGTTACAAACAATACTGAAGAAAGTGACTTATGACCGGTTTTCACAGCATCCCCATGGTCATGCAATCAAAATTCAGATGCTTGGCAACTGGTTCATATTTATGATGATTGCAATGTCCTTGGGCCATGTGATCACCTTTGGCGACCCTCTGACAAGCAAAGTCAATGCAGAAGATGGATTCACTTAACAACTGTGTGACTAACTTGACAACTGCAGTGATTCATTTCATAATTGTGATAAGAAATGTCATAAAATGGGGCAAAAGTCACATAACAACTACTTCACTTAGCAACTGAAATTTTGGGCTCAATTGTGGTCGTAAGTCAAGGACTACCTGTACTAAATAGGAGGAATCTGGTTAAGTGGGACCCTGTTGTGGTGGAAGGTAGTCTGGAGTCTGAGGAGGGAGGGGCTGCATTCCAGAGAAAGAAGAGGCGGCAAAGTTTAGATAACTTGGTTGGGAGAAAAAGGATCAAGTCAGATCCTCCTAAAAGTTCTCAGAGTATGTTTATAATGATGCAGGTAGTTTGCTTTAGTTCTGTCAATAGCTGAGGAACAATATGAAATCCATCATATCTTTCTTGGTTTGGGAGCCTTGACATCTATCTGCCCTACTTAACTGGCCTTTCCCTTGCTGCCTTTTCCCACAGCTCCTCCACTTCCCCATCTTCCCTCTGCTCCATCTTGTTTGATATATGATGATTCTAGAAGAATAAATTCTCGTGGTACCCATCAATGGACATTGTATTCCAACTTTGTCTCCTATCCGAGTCCAAGCCAGATCTCACTCTATTGCTCTCTTACTGTTGTGGAGATTTTCCCCCCATTTTTTTTTTTTTTTTTTTTTTTTTGAGATCAACAAAGCTTGGCAAGGTGCTGCCACCTGCCATGAATGAGACAAGGCAATTAGGCTCGGTATTTTTTCCAATGATCTTCTGCGCTAGGCACAGTTAAATCTGGATGTAATGGATTTTTTTTAAAGGAATAAACTTCTATGAGCTGGGATCTTTTTATTTCAAATCCTTTATTAAATATTTGTGCACTCTGTATAAATAAATGGCAATGATACAAGGAACAAATTATTAGTACTTAGGAGGTACAAGCAAGTTAACTTGAATGTTTCCATTAATTTTTGCATTGCTATTAGTTATTCTCTGCTGACTATGCATTGTATTTTCTTAAAGGCCAATTCTACCTTGGCTTTTAAAGCAGAATTTATTAATAAAAAGAGACCATGAAAAATACAAATATTATTAAGTTGGAACCCCCTTGATGTTTCCTAGAGTGAATACACAGTGCAAAGGTACTTCTGAATAGACTGTGCACAAAAGCTAGTTTGGTGTAGAAGTGAAAGTGCTGGCTTGGAAACCAGGAAATGGGGACTTGTAGGCTTCCCTTAGGCATGAAAACTGGTTGGGTGATTTGGAGTTTTCTCTCAGCTCAACTCACATCACAGGTTGTTGTGGGGAAAATAGGAGACAGGAACATTGGGTATATTCACCACCTTGAGTTATATCTAGAAAATGCAGGATACAAATATAATAATAATGATAATCTTGGGTGCAATCCCAAGACTTCCGAAACATTATTTGAATACGCTAAATAATACTATTTTAAAGGAAATAATACTATTTTAAAGGAAAAAGACTTTACACAGTGGATGGAGAAAGAACTGGCTTTTTTCTTTAGAGAAAACAAAAAAGAAACATCAATCCAGAATGTATGGGATACAATGAAGGCATAGGCCAGAGGCTTGATAATAGACTATACAAGGAAAAGAAATACCATGAAAAGATTAGCCTCTAAGGCATTAGAGGATGAGTATAAAGGACTTGAAAAAGAGCTACAGAAAATGCCACAGAAAAAGGACATTAAGTTAAAAATTGATATAACCAAACATAAAATGGGTCTAATAGAAAAAGAAGAATTAGCACAGAAAATTAGAGGTGCTAAACAGAATTACTTTGAAGATGCAAATAAACCAGGTAGATGGTTAGCATATAAATTGAGAAAGGATAAAGAATCAAGGAAAATATTGCAATTAATAGATGATCAAGGCCAAGTTTGCTATGGTAGTAAAGAGAAGAAGGAAATCATTCGAGACCATTATGGGAAACTATACACACAAGAGAATATTGATGAGGAAAGAGTCAAACAGTACCTACAGAATGCTGCGTTACCCCAGATATCTAAAGAGATTGAAACAATGTTAGAAAGCAATATAACGATGATGGAGTTAACTGAAGCACTCAAGAAGCAAAATAATGGAAAGGCACCAGGCCCAGATGGACTTCCGGCAGAAGTTTACAAAACATTACAAGAATCGTTGAATCTTCCATTGCTAGAAGTTATGAATGAAGTTATGTTAAAGAAGAAGATACCTAAATCATGGTCAGAAGCTTATATTACACTTGTTCCAAAAGAGGAGGCCGATCCATTACAAATCAAGAACTATAGACCTATTTCCCTACTAAACGCAGATTATAAAATTTTTGCTTCAATATTGGCAGAAAGACTTTAAAAATACTTAAATAATTTTATCCATCCTGATCAAAATGGATTTCTGCCAAAGAGACAAATTAAAGACAATATGAGAGTAATCTTGGACACTTTGGAATACTACGAGACACATCCTGAAAAACAAATGGCTTTGATATTTCTAGATGCACAGAAGGCATTTGACAATGTGAATTGGCGATTCATGCTGTTATTGCTGGAACAGATGGGGTTTGCTAGAAAATTTATTCAAGCAATAGAAGCTATATAAGCAAATGGCAAAGGTAATGATAGAGGGAGAACTGACAGACTCTATTGATATCAGAAAAGGAACAAGACAAGGGTGCTCACTATCACCTCTGTTGTTTGTGTTAACTTTGGAAGTGCTAAATAGAAATATTAGAGATGAAAAGAATATAAAAGGTATGAAAATTAAAAAGGAAGAATTTAAGTTGCAAGCATTTGCAGATGATCTGGTTTTTATTTTAGAAGACCCACTAAAAACTGCATCAAAATTGATAGAAAAGATAGAGACATATGGAAAGGTGGCTGGTTTGAAAATAAATAAAGATAAGACAATGATCTTGGCAAAGAATATGCTATCAAGACAAAAGGAAGAACTGGCAGACCTATTGAAAATTCAGGTCACGAATAAGATCAAGTACTTGGGGATATACTTGACAGCAAGATGCAGTATACTAAAAGAGAATAATTATATCAAACTTAAACAGCAGATAGCGCTAGATTTGGCGAAATGGGGAAATTTACAACTGTCATTAATAGGGAGAATATCAACAATCAAGATGAATATATTACCCAGAATTTTATATTTGTTTCAAACAATTCCAATTAGGCTTGGAAAAGACTATTTTGAAGATTTAAATAAAATTGTGTTGAAATTTATATGGCAAGGTAAGAAAGCGAGAATAAAGTTAAAACTTTTGCAAGATGCTAGAATAAGAGAAGGATTTGGTTTGCCTAATTGGGAGTTTTATTACCAAGCTACAAATTTGATGTGGGTTAAGGAATGGATAACATTAAGAAATACTAGATTGTTGACATTAGAAGGACATGATCTGTTGTTGGGGTGGCATGCTTTTCTATGGTATAAAGGAACTAAAACACAGGGGTACTTTAGAAGACTTTATATACGGGAGTCTCTGTGGTTAAACTGGGAGAAGATTAAAAGACAATGTTATTTGAAAATTCCAGTCTGGCTGTCGACTATTGAAGCATTTTCTTATCCTATAATATACAAAAAGGAACAAACAGTTAGATATGTTGAAATATTGAATGAAAAGGGTGAACTTAAATCTATACAAAAACTAGAGGAACAAGGTATAAAGATGAATTGGTTTTCATATGCGCAAATACATTCAAGGTATGATCAAGATTCTAAAACAGAAGGTTTCTATGATAAACTGACTGATTTAGATAAGATTTTGACAGGTACTGATGAAAAGGTGATTAAAAAATTGTATGGATATTTATTAGAAATTAAATTAGAAGAAGAACAAGTTAAAGAAACTATGATTGCTTGGGGGAAGAATTTTGGATATGGGATTGATCTAGAGAAATGGCAAAAATTGTGGTCTCAAAATTATAAAATGACAATGTCAACAGCATATAAAGAAAATTTGTATAAGATGTTTTACAGGTGGCACTTTCCCCCAACAAGAATAGCAAGAATGTTCAAGAATCCGAAAAATGTTGGAAATGTCATCAGACACCTGGCTCATATTACCATATGTGGTGGAGTTTTGCGGATGCTAAAAAATACTGGACTAAAATCCACAAGTGGTTGGAAAAAAATGACAAAAAAACATATAGATTTGAAACCAGAGATATTTTTATTGGGAATTTTACCTGAAATATATAGTAAAGATTTGAAATACCTGATTGTAAATGTATTAACAGCGGCTAGGATTGTATTTGCTAAAAACTGGAAAAATGAGAAAATACCATCACAGGAGGAAATTATTAAGAAAATATTGGAATGTGCTGAAATGAACAGATTGACATTTGAAATAAGAGAACAGGATGATAAACAATTTTAAAAAGTTTGGGATCTATTCTATCAATGGTTAGACAATAAAGTATAGTAACGAAATATGTATAGTAACGAAAAGGAAGAGCCGCGGCGGCGCTTTGCAATGGCAGCAGCGGCTCCTGGTTTTGCCTTTCCCTTCCCGAGGCAACGCGGGACTGGAGCCGCGCGGAGCCACGCCAGCAGTAACAACTCCTGACAGCCCCAGCCGGATACCTCAGCGGAGCTCGGGCGGTGCGAGCCTCGTTTCCTTGGGAGCTGGGAGAAGGCTGGCTGCTCCTTTCGGCTTCACGGGATTCGTTTCCACGGTGCGCAAAAGTGCCTCAGCCGCGGGCAGCTGCAGTGCTTCCCAATTACTATTTGCCGGCGTATAAGACGACCCGGCATATAAGACGACCCCCCCAATTGGAGGCATCTTTTTCAGGGCAAAAAAGTCGTCTTATACGCCGGCAAATACGGTAGTTGCTCTGATCACGTGCATCATAGTAGATCTTTGCAGGCTCTAATCTTTTTGACCTAAAGCAAAAAGGCTCCCAGATCAGTTGGTCTCTGTATCCCTCCCATATCCACTTACATAGATTTCTTGATGTTCAAAGCGTTTCTTCAAGTTCTGCATCAATGTGTCTTCTGTCAGTGGCTCCAACAGCACCAGGTCTCCTACACCCACAGAGTCAAGCACCGCCATACTCTCCATGGTTGTAAGAATGGCCAGGATTCCAAAAACAGAGGAAAGTAACCTGCAAGTAATTGAGTCACAGGTTAAATCCAGATGTTTTTGCCACACAATCAAAAGCTCTTCACACAATGACTCATGAAAAACAGTTGCAGATTCTTGGTTTCATTCTTCGTACCAATGACAATCCACAGATAATAAAGTGCAAAAGAAGAAGAAGCATAAAGTATAAAGCCCAATGTGAGTTTTACAACAGTAAAAATAATCAAATTATTAAGATGATCTAGGGCACTGCTTGACTGATTGTGCAATTTAGAGAATGGCACATAAATAGATGTTTTGTAGAAGGATCCCAAGAATACCAAGGACAACCAAGAAAACGAACTGATGGACCATTGAACAAATCAATCCAGCATTCTCTTGATGCATAAATGATCAGATTCAAATTAGCCTATTTTGGACACTATGCGAAGATCTGGGTCTCTTGAAAAGGTTATAATGCTGGGGAAAATGGAAGGAAAGGGAAGAAGAGGATGATAGCAGGATGGTAGATAGACTCAATTACAGTGGTAATAGACTCCATTCAAAGATCTGAAAGATCAGATTAGAGACAGATTGCCATGGAGAAAACCCATCCATCAGATTGTTAGGTGTCAAAAATGACTTGATGACATATAATCAATCAATCAATCAATCAATCAATCATATAAATGGATATCTTTGCAAAATAATTATATTTCAGACTCTAGACAAATTCCGAATTAATATCTCTCTTATATTTATTCAATTTATTATCTGTCTCTAAATTACACTACTTCCCTAAACTTCATGTTATGAGCGAAGTTCTATCAGTCATTACATAGCTAGAATACTATTTCCTTTGTATATACCACTGTTAAATTTATTATCAGTGGAAAGTCACTTCTCTATTATGATGCTGTAAATTTACAGTTTGGCTACAGTGAACAGATTTATCACAATTTTGTCAAAAGTTATTCCAGATGGGAAATGTCCTTTAGTAGTTCATTTTTTTTCCTAAATGGACAGTTCACAAGAGATGCTTTGATCTAAGGGTAATGTATAAATTGCAACACAGATGAAATACACTAAATTTAGACAGTTCTATGTATTATATGGAGGTAAGGCATTTTGAGGAGCAAAAAAATGTATCTCCCTCTTATAAAAAGAGTATTTACTAAAGAGTCAACTACCCATTGATGGGATTCAGCCAATTCTTACCACTTTGGGAGAACCAGTTAAGTTTCTGAGTAGTTTAGTGAACTGGTTGTTGGAAGAAATCATTAGGGCAGAGAACCAGTTGTTAAATTATTTGAATCCCACCACTGCAACTACCTCATTACAGACTTGATTGATTATAATACCTAGATACCTGTATCCTTCTAATGATTCATACATCTGCAATACTTCAGAACATCATTCCAAATGTTCATGATTCCAGCAAAGTATGTAATGGGGGGAAGGACAACTTCACAGATGCAGGCTTTGCCTCCTCTCACAGAGAAATGCATCAGCATACAGTGGCGGGATTCAAATTTTTTTACTACTGGGTCTGTGAGTGTAGCTTGGGGACGTGGCATGGGAAGGTTACTGTAAAATCTCCAATCATAGGTGTTATTTGCTGGTTCTCTGAACTACTCAAAATTTCTGCTACCAGTTCTTCAGAACCTGCTGAATATCACCTCTGCAACCATACCATGAACATAATGCAGAAAAGTCAGTGAAGGCACATATAATGAGAACCAAGCTGATCTTCCTTTCAATGTGCCTATGCAGGATAGATAGCACTGAAATCTGAAATGGACTATTAACACTCCAGTGCATAACCTCCAAGGAAATGATGACTGCATATACTATATTCCACAATACAGATAATCTTCATTTAATCATCACAGTTGTGACCAGCAATCGGTCATTATGTAAAGAGCTTACTAAGTGGATCCCTTTCAGTCAGGTTATGGGACAGAAATAGCATTGGTTGCATTTGCTGATAATCTCTGGCAAGAGTGGGATGGGGGACATGCCCCCATCCTCTATCTCCTTGATCTCTCAGCAGCCTTTGATATCATCCATCATGGTACCCTTTTGGGCTGGCTGCAGGACTGAGCTTGAGACTGGACAGTCCAGTTTTGGCTCCTTTCACCAAGCCGGTCCCAATCAATGTCAATAGGAAGTGAGAGGGCCAGCCCATAGCTGCTCCTCTGTGGTGTGCCACAGGGCTTGGTTGTCAGCATTCCAATGAAACTCCCCATTTCATTCAGCTCTCAGAAACAAAGTTCATCCAAGTAAAAAATTTATCGAAGAAGTCATATTGGCACATCTGGGAAAACCCGAATCTGGGAGTTCCGGGTTTTCTCTTCCTAATTGAAAATCAAAAGCCCATCCCCTGCACTCACCAGTCCATCACATGGTCCAATCCACCACCATCCCAACTGCAGATATTCCTCCAGATACTCCCCCCCAGGTGCAAGGTAAATTGTCTTTGACTCTATGAGAAGAATGTTGTTGTGTCTAATCTTCTACCTCTTTATGAAATCCCCCCTCCCAAATTCCCAGGCACTAATTGTGGCAGCCTCGAAGCTTCTAACTAAAATATGGCTTCCAAGGCTGACATCGGTACTCTCTCCACTCCTTGAAGATATGTAAATGTCTATTGAGATTCTTAGTTATTCCAAGTCATGGTTATTCCCAAAGGTGCTTTTCTGAAAGGTAACTTGATTTTCTTTGTATTTTCCTTGAAGACATTTTGCTTCTCAACCAAGAAGCTTCCTCAGTTTTGACTAAATGGTGTGGGGAGTGGGGGCAGGGGAGATGGAAAGATGTATATTCCTTGCAGTTATTGTAGACATCAAAGGAACAGAGCTACATTGGAATTGGAAGGAGTTCGGTTACATCTCGTCCAATTCACAGATTTTACACATCCAAAAAAGTTACCCAAAGCTCACAAAATAGCTTCAAAGTAGATTTATTACTTAGAATGGCTGCTACCAAGTTTCCTCCTTTTTTTGTTTACAAATCTAATAGCATTTTCCCATGAAGGTAGCTTTTTATGTACTGTTTCTCTTGTTTTATCTTATGAAGTATTAAAAGTTCCTCAGGTTTGTGACAGTCCCTAAATGTGATTGGTAGACAGACAGCCTTCTTCCCACTGCTCTTCACAACCACTTCTCCCACTTCTCTGTAGCAATTGGTACAATGGTATTTGTTTTCTACATTAAAATTTCCAAAGTGGTTCTATAAAACCTGTAAACTATTGCAGCCCATTATGAGATTATTGGACTAAGATGCACAGCTATTGCTTTCAGTGAGACAAACCTCATGTCTTCCAACCAAATGAAATATACCAATATTTCTGTTGAAGCAGCCTCATGTCATGCTGGGCCATGAATTTTTAAAAAGTCATGATTGTAGGAGCACTGCTGTATACTTTTTTAATTCAAAAAGAAACAATGCTGTGGCTTTGAGCATCTGGTATTCTCCTTATAGAAGAGGCAAGAACAAGTTAGCAAGAATCTAACAAATGCAGCCTCCTCCATTTTAGAACAGAACATAGATGGAGAAGTGGAATGTAATACCCAACTTTGAATTGTGGACCCAAAGGTGCTTTTTCAAGAGGCAACTGGACTTTCTGGTTTTTCTTTAAAGACATTTTGCTTCTCATCCAAAAAGCTTCTTCAGCTCTGAATTGAGATATATATATATATCTTCTATACAAGGAAAACATGTATAGGAAGGCCTAAAGATTACCATTTCGGAAATGTTTTGTATATACCTTCTTCTTTCCTTCCACTCATCTCATATACATCCTGCAGCCCCATTGATTCCTTCACCAGCTGACAGCTGTGAGTGATGCAACTTCCTGCTCTAGCTCACTGGAGTCTTTGCCAGCTCATTACCCCATGCTTCTCAGTGGCATTTAACCTCTTTCCTTCTGGTTCCAAAGCATTGCTCCCTATAAAAAGTAACACCTCCCTCCACCCCCGAATAGTTTGCTACTGGGGTCTTCAAAAGGAATTGCCATTTTGTAAGCAAATCAAATGAATTGGTTGCCTAGACTTGCAGTCCAGAATCTAGAGACTACCAGCTATGTCTGCAGGATCCTATTGGTTTCAGCAAAAGATTGAAAGCAGGATTGTGGCATCAGTTGCACCCCACCCTTTGGGGACCTGTGTGGACTTGCATTGTGACATTGTTCTGCTGCTTTTGACAGTCTGGCCCCCTCTTACCTTCTCCTCTGCGGATGCTGCAAAGGCCTACTACCAAGGCAGAAGAGAAATCTCAAACTCATCCGCAGATCTTGAGCCATAACATCCAATAATTTTAAACTAAGCCTATCTGGGAGCCTTGATACATTTTGAAGTTGCCCACAGAAACCCAGGAAGAGGCGTTTCTTTTGGAATATTGTTGAATTATTATATACATTATTTTTATCTATCATTTGTCCAGTAAGACTTCTCCAAAAAAATCGCAACATGTAATAAGCCATGCCTATCAAAAAGCTTCAGAATCAAGCCCAACGTTGAGAAACAGCAATTTTAAAATGTTTAAGTAAAAATGTTTTCATATGGTGTCTAAAAGCTACTATAGACATGTTTGGCACATTGTCTTAACAAGAGTATTGGAGAAGCTGGGACCCACCACTGAAAAAGCCCTCTGCTTGGCCCTGACAAGTACATTTTCTAAAGAAAATAACCCTTAGAGTCGAACTTCAGTAGAAGTATTTAAGTCACTGGACAGCTTGCCTTAAAGAAAAGGACTCCTTTTGCTCTCAAGTTATAAGGAGTCTTCAAAGGGAAATACCACCCTCCTGTACTGGAGCCAGAAATGAATTAGCAATCAAAGCTGTTTTGTTGTTAAGGCTGAAGTAATGTAGATCAATCAAATGACAGCAGTTTAACGTCTACTATATAGCACAGCTGAAGCTTTTCTCATTGCTGAATCTCCATGCCAGAAATAGTTTCAGCATCACATTTTTGCCCACAATGCAGTTATCAAATATGCAGAGTGTTCCCCCTTTCTCCACTAGAACAATGATTTGATCCGATG